CTCGACTTATCACCTGTCCAACAACCATTTAAGATTATAACAGTGCTGAATGAAGGGATTTATGACCCGTACCAGAAGTTATGACCGCTGCAGTGCCTTCACAGTCATGTGATTTGAGCCAAGATAGATTTCAATCATGGATAGAAAAATGTGACTAAAATTATTATTGTTCTATTTTCACAGAGAGACATTGCACCACTTTCACCTTTACCTAATAAGCTCTATGATCCTTCTTCTCAAGTGTGATGGTCAGAGTTGGGATTAGCACAGCAAATTCTGTTGCTGTACATGAAGATATTTGAAACCTTCCTGCATCAATGGCCAAGAGTTTCCCAAGAGAGATACTGAGAAAAAGCTTCTCAAAAAGTTAGAGTGTGGAATGTCAATAAGATCAGAGTTTTTAGGTGAACTTCTTTGCCTAGGGAAAAAGGCAAGTTACAGGATTCCAGGATGGGAAAACAGGAACATCATTAGGAAAGAAAGAAAGAAGAGAAGTGTATGGTTATTAGTAAAGGTTTAGTGCAGAGAAATCCTTTGTACCTTATGGAAATATGAATGCACATCTCATTCTAACTTAAATAGGTCACAGTCTCTACTTGTTAAATGTTGGTCTCTCCTGTCTTTTCTTCTGGCTTATTATTGAAAATGTACTTTGTTGACAAGCAAGAATGGCATAGCTGGGATTATAAATTTAAATGGAAGTTCAGAACTAAGATGATCAGCTTTTAAATAAATTTGGCTAGATAGACACAGCATCATTAATTTTTCCTCTCCCACAGGTACAAGTAGCAATCTATTCTGATTAAAGGGTGCAGTTTTTAATGGCGTCAAATTCCAAAGTATGTGTCAGCCTCATTGTGTCCATACAAATAAATTGATAAAAGTATTTTACAAAGATATGTAGACATATCCACATTTCCCAATGTAAACCACCACAGTTCTCCTCTCATTCGTTCCTTATCCCAATGCATGCATGAAAAGCCATGTCTTTTCAGAGATGAAAAAAGACCTGACTTAAGTTAGCTTAACCATTTTTCATACACGAGGGAATGCAGTGAATGATTTATGCTACAAATTTGTTTATTTATGGAATTCAACAGCCACTTTGAATTATTGCGCAATGCAACAATAAAAAACAGAAGCTTAACAATAAAGATATTGATGCCACCAAAATGAATCTGGAAAAGACTGAAAAAAAAAAACCCCCAAGAAATCATTCAAAAGACCAGAACACCACAGAAGAAGGCCATCTGGAGGTATGTGGCTTTTTTTATAAAGGCCCAGGTTGGGAGCCACACCCATTTTAGAGAAAATGCTATTCTAGAGAGCAGTTATCATGACAGATAGGTTCTACTTCCTGAGTCCCATCAGGTGGCATTTATTTTTACATCTATGGAACCTAGAGCATGATGATGCTATCAGAATGTTTGGGATGACTAAGAACTACTGCAGATAGGTGACCCCTAAAATATCCATAATAGCTCATCTTTCTGCATTCTGGACAAATTGCAGCTTGAAGTTGTCTTCAAGAATAACCCTTGAATTAAATTATTTAATTTAATTTAATTTAACTTTTCCATGATTCCCCAAGCATTCTTGGTATTTGGCTTCTTCCAGGGGTTCTATTAAAGCCAAAAGTCTGTGATAAGACTTCACTTATTTTATGCCTTCATACCTTCATGCTGCATGGCCCTCCCAATAACACTGCATGTTGCTGATAAACAAAGTGTGATGGAAGAAAGATAGGAAAGGATAAATGTTTAAAGGTCATTTTTTTGGCCTTAGAAATTAAAATGAAAGAGGGAGCAAATACTGTAAAAATAGTTTTATTTCTTTGTGTAAATTTTTCAGCTGGGAATTATCGCATTCTATAGCAAATGTTATAGAAATTCCCAGGAAAAATAAATGCATCACTAATGGGATGATAAATTATCTGTATGGAGTGTGGAATAGGTTTCCTGGCTGGCTTAAGCAAGTTGTCTATATTCCTGGAAGGCACTGCATGCAGATGCTACTCTGAATGCCATCTAGATGCTACTTTTGAAGATATAAGAAAAGAAAAGCAAGGTAAACTTAAAATATGGCAAGGGAGTACAAGCAATCCAATACAAATGAAATACCTGTGGTAGAAATCACCTCGCAACATTCAGTGAAAACATATAATAATATAGGATGAGAAGAAGCTTAGCTGCTTGCTGACTGGTCAACAGAGGTCTGCTTATTCTCTGTTAAAATGCTGCTGTTGTTTTAAAAGTGGCCTTGCGCTACACTGTGCATTGAACCATAAATAATAAACAGCTTACCTTTAGAATTCATGTACTGTTATTTAAGACATTATGGCTCTCCTAATAAAACTGTACTGCTCTTAAACCATTCGACTGGTATCAGCCATAACTGGGTCAAAGGTGAATCCATCTTTGTCATAGGGATAAGAAACATGGCATTTGTAAGGATGATAAATTACAATTCATAGCATCTTTCATCCTTCGTTATGTTGTATGGGTTGATGAGACCTGTGGTTCAACTACATCAGAAAAGCTGCATATTCCTCACTTGTTCTATAATGCATTTTTGTTTTTAAATGCGTGGAAATGTGTTTGAATGTGCAACTAATAGTACTCTATTACCAAGCAAAATCTAGATTGACAGAAGTCTTTCAGAAGACCTACACCCATTAACATCAAAATTAGTGTGTCTTGAGTCCCAATACACTCATTTAGAGATAGAGGTAACCTTTTCTTTGTAGGATTATATGGTTAATCAATTGCAGGCAAAACTGAATCAGGAAAATGGGGAATGGATAGATCTTAATATAGCACTGTGAGTTGTTTGAAAGCCTTCATAAAACTGTAAACAGATAATTTGGACATGTTGATAGGAAGATTAGGTTTTATTGTTTCTTGAGTGACAGGCTTGGTGAAAGATATTTGTGGTTTGCCTCCTGTTACTAAAATCCAATGACAAGTAAAACCTGACATGTGTGTATAATAGGAAGGCTTTAGGGGAAATATGAGAAACAGTTCATTAAGAAGGTTGTGCTTCGGCAAGTTTTAATTTCACATGATAGAACTGCAATATTCAGAAGGTATGTAAAATATTGAAAGATGCCATTTGGTAAAATCTACTTTATTTGTTTTTGCTCACATATATTTGAAGAGTAGAAAGTTTGATCTAAAGCAGTTCTTGATTTGGGGCCCTCCATGTATCTTAGACTTCATGTCCTAGATTTTGGCTAGGAATTTTGAAAAACGAAGTTCATACATCTGGGCGCCAGCAGTTGGGGAAAATGTGGGTTGAAGGTGAGGGTCAGAAGGTTAAGGAAGACTGACCATAATCACAATAGGAAAAATTTCAGGAACAGCTTAAAGTGGCCTAATATCCAGAGCCAGCATAGATAACAAATCCCTTTTTTAGTATACAAATATTTGCAGTTGTTAAATTCAATTTGTTTTCACAGCAGATTAATTTTGACATTCAGCAACAGAACCAGAAAACAGCTTTGCCAGTGCCAACTTTCCTCAAAATGAAAACAAGTAGTATCTTAAATCAGCTGCACTGTTATAAGGTACAATGGATTAAAAGGGGAGAATAAAGAAATTATTTTCTACTGATTAAGTTATTTAGATAAAGTTATTTAGAGATTCATAGGGACAAGATCTACTATTTAAGTAAGTATCCTTGGGTATGTAAATCAGACAGAGATAAACTAGGTAATCCTGACACAAATTGAATTTTAAAGAATTGTCTAATGGAGAAAAATTGAATACAAATAAACCTGTTTGGATTATATGTAATTAGTGCATGCTTCATTTTCCTTCTTTTTTTAATAATTTGTAGAGAAAATATCAAAATGATTTGATTTGTGTTTGATTTTCTGTTATAATCTTTCTTTTAAAATATTTGTCTTAATTTCTGACAACATGAATATTTATTAAGTTCAGAACATACTAAACTAGATCTACTTTAGGCATAATGAAATCAATGGGACAGAAAGACTAACTCATTCCATTAATTTCAATGCATCTACTAAAAAAAATGATACATCCACAGGACACTGTAGCAATGTTAATATGCAGACGATGGCCTTACGTATTTGCATCTCATTGTCCGATACTAGTGTGCAAATCAAGGGAGCTGCCTGATGGTGTCATCATGCACATTTTATCATTTGTTTCTCACTGTCTTATGCAATAGGATTTAGAATGCACTTTAATCCCAGCTAAGTGGTTATATAAAAACGGTACTTTAAGGGCCAGAACTATCTCTGTCCCCCACTCTTTCTCCTTCTATTACTAATTTGTTTAAATGTAACTACTAGTAATCTAATTGATTGTAGGACAAAACACAAGAAAGATCTACTTATACACTCTTCAGCCTCTTCCTTCACATACTGGAGAAAAAAAGATACCCCACCGACACCAATAGAAATATGTTTAATATTTGTTCCCCCTGAGGAAATAGTTTGTCTTAAAAAAAAGAACTTTAAAAGGGGCTATGACTTTTTTCTCTCTGTGCATAGACTGGGGCCCCACTGCACGGTATCCTCCATTTTGTGTCATTTGAAACTACATCTGGATCAAACTGAATATTTATAACAGCCTAGATCTACATCTGAATGATTTCTAAATAATTTCTCAGCTAACATGACTGTTTCTGGAAATTGAACTCCACACATTTGAATAAGTCCAGGTTTGGGAAGGCAGATGTATAAAAAAAGAAGACAACATATGATCTTTCCACATCCCCTATTCCTCAATCGTTCCATTTTTTATCCCAAATATTATATGCAAAATACTCTCCCTGCACATCCAATAAAGTAAGATTAATATAAAACAATTAGTGGGATGGATATTCTTCTGTACACTTGAAGTAAATATAGTTTATATAAATAAGGAAGTGCTGCAAACATATTCTAAGCCTCATTGTGGTGACTTTGCTGGAGTAATTTTTGAAAATCTAAAATTTGAGGAAACAGGTTTTGTCGGTAAATATATACTTACACTTACAGGTTGACTTTTTGGCACATCATAAACACCTTCTTTCTTTTGGCTAGTAGGAACCTGTGGGAAGAAAAATATAATTAGGATCAACTTGAAAAATACTGGAAGCTCTTATTGGAAGTTTAATGGATGATACATATGACTCTGAATTCTGAAACAGACATCTTGTTATAATGAATGAGATGGAAGTCCTTTTTCCATAGTTCTTGGAACTCCACTTTGTCCTTTTACTAGCCTCCATTTTAGATATCATGACCATATGGACAGATGTCTTATTTGAATTTACTATCTAGTACAGGCATGTCAAACTGCCGGCCCACAAGCTGGATGTGTTATGCTGAAACCGCGCCCACCCCATTGCCGGCAATGGGGAAAAAGTCACGATATGTCACGCGACGTCATGTGATGTTGTGAGTTTGACATGCCTGATTTAGTACCTGAGGCTTAAATTTTAAAAAGGATTCCTTCACAACAAATCTGTAACTTTGCACAAAAGTAGAATTAATATCTTGTAATATTGTACTATTCCTTATATTATATTTTTTCCATGTAGAATTTGAGCATCTGGTCCCAATCCTTATTTGTTGCTCTAATTTATTATTTGGGAAAAGAAAGGACTTGAGCAATATGTCAAGCTTCTAATTGTAGGTACCAATGACTGTCCAATTAATACTTTGTAGAAGAGATCTGAGTCTTTTACTTTGTTCACATCTGCTCTGTACTCATTAGAAACTGTTTTTCCTCCCCATTTGAGGATGAATAATTAAAGAACTTTGGTAGAATCAATCAAATAGATGTTTTTGAAACTTGTGCATTTTCCTGATTTCTTGTCCTTCCAATGAATCCTTATTCCACTTGGTTCCAATCACTCTTTTCTGTTGCAATGTATTCATTTGCAGCCTAACACTTTCTCTAAAAATTAAGTTTCATTTATTGGTGCTACTGCTTAATTTCTTTAGTGTCTTGTTAGACTTTATTTGTACTGGCAGCATTACCTTTGTCTCATCTCACTTTTTCTGACCTTAATTATTAGATTAGGTTTTATATTGAATATATACTCCATTACAATGTTTAACTATCCATTGTGGACACCTTTTATTTAGCATTAAGAGTGCATATCATTTTATTGTATGAATGGATTTCTATATTACTTTATACGTATACTATAATGCATATACTATATACTACTACAATAATCTGGTGCAATATGCTGTATGTGTATATCTGAAACAAAATTCAATGCCTAGTTGAGGTGAATTGTGCCTTATGAATACACCTTATAAATTATGAGAGAAAAAAATTGTATACAACATTAAGAGAGGAAAATAATCAAGACATTAGACTTTTCTGACTTGGAAACTGGAGAACTTTATTATCTATTGGTAATAGCAGAAAAATCAAGTAAAGATCACAAAACTAGTATAAGAATACATGGACCTTTTTCCCCTAGTTATTCAAAAGATGCAGAATCTCTCTTTTTTAAACATTTGTATTTCAAATACTTTTCTTATTTCTATTGTCCCTTTCATCAGCATTTCTAAGATTCTAATTCTACAGATTCCAGATGCTTTAGAGTTACAATATGTATTGGACAAGTAGCTCAATGCAAGCACAAGCTTTGACTGATCAAGAACAAACTTACTATACACAAAGTGTATTATCAGTTTATAAATATTAATCAAGTTATTTTCAGATTGTTTGAAAGCAGAAATGAAATTTCTTGTTGGACTGTCAATATTTTATAACACTCATAGCTGTTGACAGCTATTTTGTTATGGAAGACTGGATTGTAAGTGCTATGGTATGTTTCTATTTTGCATTTTTGTTCTTAAGAAGAATAATTCCTGGCTCACTTATGACTATATTTAGTAGTTCTGTTCCCTATATTTTGAATTGCTTACAAAATGAAAAGATTTTCTTCTATTCATATTTTTATTTCATCTCTAAAGGGATTCATTCACATAAGGTGACTATAGGGGTTATTTTTATAAATTCAGCTTCTTTTTAGGTCAAATAAATATTGCAAATTTACTGATATTTTATCAACACATTAGACAATTATAAAATAAAAATATGGTGTAAAAGAGAATAAAAATAATCACAGAAATGCAAAATAAAATGTCCAAAATATATCCATAGCACTGAAAATTTAGTCAGTTCTATAACTGCATTTTCCACAACTAGCCCAGGATGCATTAACTACTGCTAGCTTTAGCTTGACATAATGCAGTGAAAAGCTCATGGTTACACTTATTCCTACAAGCTATACACATTTTATACTATAATGCAAAGCGACTTAGTTGGTTAAACTGGCTAATATCTATTCTTACTACCCCTATGTTCCCAATCATAAAAGCATCAGGCATAGAGAAAACCTTACTTAAAACTGACTACACAGGCAAATTCTAACATTTTTTAAAATAAAAAATAATCCCTCTGAGAAAACCTTCCTGGGCATTATCACCTTGATATTGCAGAAAGAAAAGATAGTTTTAGGGACCCAAATAGTGATGCTAGTAGGAATGATAATAATAATTATAATAATGATAATTCCTGGTAGGACCATCTTTGCTCATAAGGTCAAAAGGGGAAAGGTGAAATTTTTACACCAATGCTAATTCACAACAGGGCTGAAGCCAGTAGGGACTCTCTAAGTAGGTAGCAAATTGACCCACGGAGAATGTACTTGCATACTAAAATTTATAAGCCAATGGCAAACCACTTCTACAACATTGTCAAGAAAACTATGCTGGGCTGAAACATTTAGCGAAGCTGATATTAGAGACACTTGAGGTTAGATATTACTCCTCTAGTTACTAGAAAAGAATTCTAGTGTTCTTTGGACAGACGAAGGCTTCAAATAAATTTGACTACAAGAGTGCCAGTGTTGAAAAAAAATTCTCGTTTTATAAGAGCCTGTGCAGTTTGAACCTGATATGTAAGAACGATGAACTAAGAACAATTTGAAATTGGAAATGAAACCTATTAAATTAAAAGCAAGTGAGTGAATTTATGTTAAATGGAATGGGTTATTCAAATCAGATGATTACATGATGGAGGCATTCCTTTGAAGGAATGAAGTAGTAATGCTACTTAATGAAGACATTGCTAAGCAAATGCTCACCTACATACAGTATATCAAAATTAGTGGCTATTCACGGAATATCAATGTTATACAAGTTTTAAAAACTCTAAGAGATACTGAAGAAATCTATACCAAATTTCAAAGGTGGTAATACAACATTAGAAACATATAGTACTGCTGATAAGTGATAGAGTTTAAACATTGGTAAGTAGAGGCACTAGAAATTATAGATGGAGAATGAAAGAGATATGTTGTAGGAAATGAAATGAAGGAGATAGGCTATACAGCAGTTTTGCAAAAGGGGCATTCCAACCTTAGTTTCAGGAGAATATGGACATAACTGAATGTACAATAGCAGAAATAAATTGATCAAATAATACCCAAAAGAAGATAGAGAAATGCAATCCAGTCAGTCAAAATCCATTCAAGTATAATTTGTGGAACAGATCACAGATTTGTAAAATATAGATTCAAGGACAAGAATATCAGATCAATTTAAAAAAAACCAGTACAATCAATTTATTTTGTTCATCAAATTTAGAGACCATCCATCTCATCCTCAGAACAACTCTTGGCAGGCTGATGTAATGGGGAGAAGACATTTTCATAGATAACCTGGACCCATGCCATTTAGGGCTATAAAGGTCATAATCAACACTTTAAATTAGATCAAGAAACAGATCAGAATCCAATGAAAATCACTTCATTTTTTATAATTAAGAAGCTACTACAATGAAATAACTGAATTTGGAGAAATATTGGTTCAGGAAAATAAAAGGGTGCATAGTGCTTTCATTGGTTTATCTTGCACAGCAAATATATTATTGAATTAGAAGGATTAGAAGAGATGTCAGATGGAATAAAAATTGGGAGTTGGAACTGCTAACAATCTCAGATATACAGATGATGTAGTAAAAGCTTAAAAGAGTTGATTCTGACAGTGAAAAATCTGGGTGAATGTTAAATTTTAAAAAGCCAAACATAATGCCAGCAAATATATTCAGTGTTAATAAGGAAGTAAAGGTAATAAATAGTTTTGGTTTCAGAAATAAAGAAGGAAACTTAAACAATATCATGAAGGATATTAATATTTCCTAGCATTGCAAAGGTCACAACAGTTAAAACAATGGTCTTTCTATTGGAAAAGGTGTGAAAGCTAGACAGTGAGAAAGAAGAGACAAAAATCTATTTCAAATTATAGATTTGAAGACTATTCCCAATAATACATTAAATTGTGAGAACTAATTAATTGATTTTGAGCCAAATAAAGGCTGACTATTTCTGTAATGTGAGCAAAAATTCACATATTTCAAATGTGATGCAAAGGAATGATGAACTAGAAAAAACAATTATGCTTGGCAACATTGTGGGAAATAGGGAAAGAATCAGATAAAACTGGATGAACATGATAAAAGAAATTATATTATTTTCTCTGAAAACTAAAAGTTAGTGACAAGTCAGGATGGTAGACATTTATTTATGCAATCGCCAAATAAGGCCTATTTCAGTGGCATTTAATTAAGTAATTCTGGAAAACCTGGACATAAAACAGAATAATTATTGTGGATCTGTAAGTAAAAGAATTTTTTTAACCATTTGTTCACCTTTAGAAAGAATTCCAACTGTAGCAAGAGTTACAGGCAGATTTCATTAGACCTCTCCAGCAGGTTTTCCAGTGCAATTCAAGATAGTGGTTCTTGCATACGAAGCTTTACACAGTACTGGGTCTAAGTATTACTGTCTATTCCCCATGGACTCTGCCCATCTGAATGATCAGACAGACTTGGCATGCCCCAGGCCTCATAGCTTAAACTACGTTATTGAGAAGGATACAGGAAATCCTGTAGCACCTTCCCTCAGAAATAACATCCCACAGAAATGAAAATATTAAATTATTCTTATCAGCATTTAAATGATCATTGAGAACCTGGTTCCTCTCCAAACCTTGGACTAAGTTGGTTGTCAGGCTTGGGTGTTATACAAGGAAGAGGGTTTCTAAGCCACCCTAGAAACATTTCATTAACACATATAGACAAATAAATAAAATCGTAACAGCTGGTAAACACTCAAATATAAAAAGGCGAAAAATAATTCTTGTAGGAAAGGAAAGGTGTTATACAATCTAATAATGTCCATGAAAGCCTATACCTCTTAGGATAAAAATCCTGTTAGTTAGGGCTTCCAAAATGATAATTGTGGCCTGAATTCAGGAACAGAATTTTGCCTTTGTTCTTAATTCTGTTAAAAAAACAGAACTCTAAATCTAAATTAAGTAGAAATAATTTCTACTTAATAATAATATCTCTCTCTCTCTCTCTCTCTCTCTCTCTCTCTCTCTCTCTCTCTCTCTCTCTGTGTGTGTGTGTGTGTGTGTGTGTGTGTGTATGTGAGAGAGAGAGAGAGAGAGAGAGAGAGAGAGAGAGAGAGAGAGAGAGAGAGACAGACCTATACTTTTTTTAAAAGGCTGAGGAAAAAATGCATCTTAAATGATACAGATAATCCTCAACTTACAACCATTAGTTTAGTGACTGTTTGAAATTATAATGGCACTGAGAAAGTGACTTACACTTTTTTTCACACTTAAGACCACTGCAGCATCTCCACGTTCATGTGATCAAAATTTTGGCACTTGGCAACTGGCCCATATTTATGACAGTTGAAATATCCTGGGATCATGAGATCACCTTTTGTGACTTCTGACAAGTAAAGTCAATGGGAAGGCCAGATTCACTTTACAATTGTGTTACTAACTTAACAGCTGCAATGATTCATTTAACAACTGTGGCAAGAAATGTCTTAAATGGGGACAAAACTCACTTAACTGTCTCGCTTAGCAACAGAAATATTGTGCTCAAATGAGGTCGTAAGTCGAGAACTACATACGCTCTACAAGCTAAATCCAAAACCTGTACAATTATGAAATGGAATGTATGACTTTAGGAAAAAATAAATGAGCTTAAAAGAAACTTTACATATTTTACTCTTCAAAATATGCTTGATGATTACTGGAAGGAACAAGAACACAAATGTACAAATTTTATACCTGATAAATGTTTTCTTCTGTTTCAGGCTCACGAATTGGCTCATGTCCAGCCTCAAACACAATGTACTATTACATCAGCAGCAAAAGAAGAAAGGTCAGAGGTGAAAAAGAAAGGAGAAAAAGGCAGTTTTGAACTTTAGAAGAAATAACCATCAGCAGAAAAGGAACAGCAGTACAGGCTGACAAAAGAGCAACTTTCTCTTTTTCTAAAACAAAAAACAAAAATGTGACTTTCTTTTATAGAAGAGAAATAAAAAAGATGTGAAACTTTACTAATTGTCATTAAACAAATTTCCTGCTGTTTCCTCAACAGAGATACGAACAGAGTTCAACCTTGTTTCCAAAGAAGCCTATATATTCCTTATTGTAATTTTAATCTTATTTAAGAAAAGCAGGGAAAATGGACTTCAGCAATGAGTTTATTTTAACTGCCTGGTTTCTATACTGATTTTGAAGAAGTTTCATGGGAACAACTTCACAGAAAACTATTTCAATACTGATGATAATTCTAATTATCATTATCATCATCTACTTATTGTTTCCATTTTCTTGGAAAGACAATTTTCCTATATTGTATTTTAAAAATCATTTCTTTCTTCTAACATGTTTCTATATTTCTTTTGTTTTGAAAATATTATTAATGGCATGTAATCTGTTGTTCGTAAAAATGTATAACATTAAAGATTTGTTTGTCATTAGTAAAAACCTTTCAACCCTATTTAAGACAATGGCATCATTTATTTAGTTAGCACCATTCTTTCCTTTCTTCCTATGTTCCTAGCTTTCTATTCTATGTGTACCCAAATTACTATGGTTAATGCTATCTCAAAAACACTATTCAGTGTTTGCTAGCCAGTTTTAACTCCTACTTTCCAAAGCTGATTCGATTCATGCCAAAGCATGTACAGTATCATGTTATTCCATCAGTAAAACTAAAAAAAAGGAAAGGGAAAAAGTATAAAAATACTGGATTATGGAACGAGAGTAACATTCAAGCAATGGCCCACTTCCTAATTTTTAATTATTATTAAAATATCGATGCTATTAAATCTTGGTGTGTCTCAATATTTAAGCTATTTCAAAGATTTGCAATAAGGAATTGATTTCATGCATTATATTTATATATCTATAGATTTATATATCTTTTTTTTACACCGACATCAAACACAGGAGTTAAGCCAGAATTTTTAAGCACAGCTGATTAAATGAGCCATACATATGGCATTTACTGAAAGCCATAATGGAAAATTTTACACATCAGGCCAAATCAAATGCATACACACTTCGCAAACCAACATTATAACTCAGCATTACACGCCAGGTGACTGATTCCTAGGGCCTAAATTCAACTAGCAAAATTTTAATTCACACCAAGAATTGGTATAAAATGTTCTAAAAAAATTAAAAGAGAGTGAAGAGAGCAATCTTATAGCTGGCAGAGGGGAAAATCTCTTGTACAGGTTTCTATACTTCCTAGTATTTTTGACTCTTTGTCCATGGAACTGAACTTCTTTATCTTTTAATTATCACAATTAGTTTTTAAAACATCAGTTTTGGATGATAAATGGGGCATTGGCTGTAAAAGTTGGAACTAACACACCTACCTTGAAGCACCTGTCTTATTTCCTATTGCCACAACTACTTATAATGGAATCTTCCACTATTATAGTTTAGAGACTTTGCACTTCTTTCTATTTCACGGATAGAAAATTGGAATTTAGTATGCCTTTTGGAGAAGCATTAATTTATTATTCTTTTTCCTAATTAATCAATGAGTGTATTTCTTCATTAATCTTTAGCATGAGCAGATTTAGTATTTCATACCATTTCAATGACCATCCCTGTTATGAACATAGGGAGACTCTCATGAACTGTGGAGTGGACAGAACACCTGCATGGCAACTTCTGTTTCTCAAATGACCTCCCAATTGAATAAAATTAATTTAGAATGACTCATCTTTCAACCTATAGCTTTTTAAAATGGCTTCTTTGCATTAAAATAGTTAATTACAATGGTCAATCTCTTAAAAGAACAATCTCAAAGCATATGTAAAAAAATATAAATAATCCTGTTAAAAATGACTTGATATTTTTGAAATTACTTCTCAATTGACGCTATGTATCATTCCTAGGGATTATATTTATATTTCAGTATTAGCAACATTACTTAGGTTTTCTTTATTTTCTATTTTTAATGTTTTGTTGCTTTCTTTTAAAAAAAAACTAAAAAACTAGTTTGAAAACTTTTTTACAATGTTCAGTCTTGTCCTTGATACCTTACTGATCTGTTTTTGAAATGCTGAAGGTTTTTTTTATAGTTTTATATTATTTTATAGATAAACCACATTCCTGTTTCTGAAACTTCACAAAAAATGGCTTCAAAAATTACCTGATAAACAGGATCCTCTACATCTTCTTCCAAAATTGTCTATCATAAAGAAAGTCAAAGATAAAGACAAAAAAGGGAGAGAATATGAACAGCAGATGCCTAAGAGCCATATTCATGATTTAAAGCATAAGGGAACTGCATAATATATAGATGTAAAATAGATATTCACATTTGCATGTACAACCTACAGTGTATATAATTATGTATGAAATAACACCAGAAAAAGCATCACACAATTACTCCAAAGATTTCCAAGTTTTATATATAATATGTTTATTGCCAAGTCAACAAGTTCACATGATTAAGTTTCTCACCAAAGCTAAGTTGATTTTAATCACTGTCAAACATAATTGTACCAACACCAACAGTATCATCCTCAAATACAGAAACTGATCTTATATAAATTAGTTTTTAGTTTTTTGCATCACAGGTTCTGTACCACAAAAAGTCACCAAATCCAATACATATTAATTTTTTGTACTTGCCTACCAAAAATCATTAAAATACCTGATATACTGCTTGTTCACATTGTTTATCTTTTTGTGCCTTCTTTTCCAGTTCTTCTCTTTGTTTCAACTCATAAATAAGTTGGAAGAGGTCTCGTAAATCCAAAATCACAGGTTCTGCCTATAAACGATATAGAAGTAATGAATGAATGTATATGCATTAATGTAAAATATGTATAAAAGGTCTAGTTAATAGAATTCAGCATTTCTGATAAGACAGGTTTCAATGACAATAATCAAATCAGTTTGTTGCAAGTGCACTGAAATCAATGGAATTAATATGTTTGGCAGTTATCCATTACAAGTGGTCCTCATTTAATGACTGTTTTAACTTCAGCTGTGCTGAATGAGAGAGTTCTGGCTGTTGCACCACCTCTGTGGTCATGTGATCATGATTGGTGACCTTCCCTGCCAGCTTCCCACAAGTAAAGTTAGGAGAACCTGGCATGAAGTAATGATCACATAAGGTCCTTGCTTAACAACATGAAGTAACTGGGGGGGTCTGCTGTAACTGCCATTATTAAACAGCAATCGTGTGACTACTTCACAACTTCATCACTTAGCAACAAAAAATCCAGTTCCAATTATCATAATTAAATGAGGAGTGCTGCAAACAATTTAAGCCGGATGTAAATAAATAAAATTTGAAATTATTTCATTCACTAATAGAATTTGTTTAGTATGTAACATTTAATTATATTAGAAATTGAGAGCCATTTTGATCAGCATTGGGTCTTTTTTTTTTTTTGCTAGCTTGGCCTATCTGTATATGTACTCACAAATTACTATAAAATTGAACAGCTCTATGTACACATTTACAGAACTACTTTCCTGCTGGTTCCTTATTCTCAGCTAAATATTCATTGTTGGCACTGAGGCAATGTAACTTACAAAGCAAACTAATTCCCTTGTGAAAAAAAATTCAGTGAAAAAAATCCTTTCTGTTACTCCATGAATTGCATAATCAAACCAGCCAAGAAGTTTTTACAATTCAATATATTTTTATTATTAATTTGTATGCTATCCATTTGTCAGATATTAGGCTTACAGAATTAAAATGTCAAAACACCATACAGCAAAATATAAAATCAAAAGTACAGGTAGTTCCAGACTTACAACGGTTCATTTAGTGACCATTCAAAGTTACAACAGAACTGAAAAAAATGATTTATTACAATTTTTCACACTTAGAATTGTTGTAGGTTCCCTATGGTCATATAATCAAAATTTGGGCACTTGGCAACTGGCATGCATTTATGACAGCTGCACTGTCCCAGGACATGTGATCACCATTTTTAACCTTCCCAGTTGGCTTCCGACAAGCAAAGTCAATAGGGGAAGCCTGATTCACTTAACAACTGCAGTGATTCGCTTAACAGTTGTGGCAAAAAAAGGTTGTAAAATGCCTTGCTTAGCAAACAAAATTTTGGGTTCAACTGTGGTGCTATGTCAAGGACTACCTGTAGATCAGTTGCTATTCTCCAATTAAAAGTCTTCCTTCCTTTATGAAATAGCTCCATTAGCAAGAGCTCTGAATCCAGAAAAATCTTCCATTATATTTCAGTACTTTCAGAGAAATGGAACTCCAACTTGAACAATAGATGGAATATTCACAGAAGGATATTCTTCTCCTAGAAGGTTTTTGTACCAATAGGAACTTTGTCTCATTGATATTCTGTCTGGATTTCTTTCAATATACACAGCCATGAGGAACTGGGTAAAGGCTTCTACTGCCAGCCTTTGCTTGGCCTGGGGTACAGATATAAATTTGGATCTCATCAGCATACTGATGCTGATTAACTCTAAATGGATGAATGGTTTCTCAGAGCAGGTTTTGTTGATATTAAACAACTCTGGAAAATAAGCTGAGCTCTGAGGCAAACCAGATTGAAGGATCCTAGGGTTCAACTTTTCTTCCCCCAACAACACTGATAGAAGCTGCTGGAAAGAGCAGAACCAATGCAGAATAATGTCTATGATACACAGTCCTTGCACATGGCCAAAAGGATATCATGATCAAGAATATCAAATGCTGCTGGGACATGGAGAGATACACTGTCCAGCTCTGAGCAAAGGTGACTCTGAATTCCAATTGGAAGGGTTTCAAATAATCTTTTTTTTGTTTAGGACTCTCTGAAATTGGAGCCAAACCACCTTCTCATCAACCTTGCCTATAAATAGTAGGTTGGAGACCAGTCATAATGTTTTGTCTTCTGTATGCATGTAAATCCTTATTAGGACTTCATATAAAATTTATTTGTGGCTGCAATCTAAATTTAAGTGCCTCTGTGTTTTTTAGAGATACTGTATTTCAATGCAAGGAGTACATTTTGAAAGTTCATTATGGATGGCGCTGTGCAATGAAGAAAATGCAATCAAAACCAAAATAAAATTATCAGAGCGTAATTCAATACTTCTCAGATAATTTTTTTTCCTTAATGAAGTCTCAAACACAATCCAATTTGAAAATGAGTAACTGATGTTCACCCATCTCAAGCTTAAACTTATTAATGTTTTACTGGTGACTCTATTTAATAGTTCACACTATTTAAGCATAAATTTAACTTACTATACATTTAAAATGAAACTTTTAATTCAAAATTATAAGATATAGCAAAAACATATTATCTGAGATTGAAACTGATGTGTCTGAACTCACATCTGTAATTACCATATTTTAATTTCGTTTTGTAAACTTTTACAAATGCAGTTTTAGAAATCTTTGTACAGTAGATGGGAGAGAATCTCATCTATTCCTAGTGAACTAATTTGTACTTTATTTATATTGGTCAAGCTTCAAATTTTAATTAGGTGAAGATTCATTTTTATTTACTGTATACAAATTATATTTGCAAATTAATGGCAAATTAAAATGAACATAAAAGATACTTAGAGTAGACCCTGAAAATAGCTATTTGTTTTCAATTTTTTTCTACCTAAAAGAGTGGAGGGGACTAAATAAACTGATTTGTATTCAGCTGATGTATACTGCTTAATTAGAAAGCAAAATAATTACTAATTAGAAGGAATACATCAAGAAAAAACTGGGAAGGATGAACTGTGCTCATTTCTTTCCAAGACTGATATTGTTAAACTGTCATTTCAGAACACTTATGCAGGGATTATATAGTATTATATACTGCATAAAGAATGCTACTAAAGGTGATAAAATGATGATATAAATGAGAAATGATACTTAATACTTACTGCTTGGGCTGTTTTTATTGCCACAAATCTATGATTTCCTTCCTTTCCACATACATATCCAAAGGCCCGGTGGTCTGTGATATCCTTGGCGATGTATGAAATTTCATGTACTGCATGATGATGCTGTAGTAGCTGTTCATAAACAAAGCACAAGAGCATTATTAATTGAAGCTCAAGTTTTGATTGAGGCACATGATTTATTTTTATGAGGATAAGTCTGAAAAATAACAATCCCACAATGAAAAACTCATGGTTTGATTGAGTCATGCGATTTATTTTTATAAAGATGTGTAAAACAGCAGTATCACAATGAAAAGTAATGCTTCAAGCACATTTTCTTCAAGACTACATCTGAATGGTTTGATCATGTTTATAATCATTTCATGCTTTAGGTGCTTTAGGTGTTTCATCTAGTGCTTTGTTTTCAGTTAGATGAATCTTCCTCATCTGTTATCACAAACTCTCTTGTGATATTGTGTCAAATTTCAGATCTTTCAATGACAGGTTGCTTTTCTTGTGATCATTAAGACAGCTTTAGTTGTTACAATTCCTTTACCATTCCTCAGTATCTTTCAAATGGCCTTTCCGACAAACCTGCCTTATGGTTGAACATATATCCTGGACTAGCGTTAGCACTGAAATTAATATTGCTACTGTTTAAGTAAGATTAAGTAAGATTTAAAGGCCAGCTGATTTCTGGAACTTTATTTCCAAAAAAACCTGGACAACTACTGCATGGAGAAGACTCGAGCACTAATATATCTGTATTCATATTACAAGGAAAAATAGGTGCAAGTGTATACATGTAGCCTCTAGTTGGATATATTAAAAAAATTGCATGAGTTAGACAAAAAGCAGTGCGGTATCCACATGTTTAATTTCAGTTATATATACTTAATAATAATTTTCAGATATAAACTGCATTACAATATATGGTTCCTCTCTATACAAAAAAAATAATTGTGTGTGCATATTCAGATAGAAAAGAGCTTGTCATTCCTTCCTGTCATTTGTACAGTAGTTTATTTTTGCTTACCACTGACTTAGCATGCATTTTTGAGTATGTGTCTGCATTGGAAATCTGTCTTCCCAAGTGTCAGGTCCTGCAACCACTATAATGCAAAGGGTAGGGAGAATGCATTGCTATAGTTATAGTTATGAGGCTTTGGCAGTAAGAAGAAACTGTGTGCCAGAAATGACTAGATACAAATTGCTATTTGTGAATTTGGGTCCTAGAGATAAGATGGTTGTTGATGTATTGATTGCCCTCTTGCTTAATAGTGGCTATCCAGAAACACCCGGGCTTTATTTTGGGGCTGATTGGAAGAGCTGGAATTCTACTGCTTGGGGACTTCAATCTCTATTCCCTGGAAACTGAGATAGGTTGGAAATTCACAGCTTACACGGACCTATCCCACTTAATATTTCCACCAGGTCACCAAGCATATTATGTTATTCAACAATATTACTGTAACAAGACTAAGCCGGAGATGCAGCAAAAGTCTTGAATTTATGCTTAAGAGTGTATGAAAGATTAGATAAGGAGAAAAAAGTTTCAAACTAAATTCTAGTAAGAGGGAGTTGGTGGTCATTTGTAAAGAATGAAACAATTTCCTTGGAATGAGCTGATCCTTGATTCAAGCTGATCTTGGAGTCATGGTTTCTGCGTAGATAGAAGGTGAAAGTCATGATCAGAAGGACCTTTAATCAGCTTGGGTAGTGCACCAGTTGTAGATGTTCCTGGTCTATGAAATTTAGATAGTTATAACTCAAATACTCATGAGGTAGTTGGACTACTTATTATATGAGGGCTGTCTTTGCAGACAATAGGAACCTAAAAAATGCAACAACCATACTGTTAATTGAGGGAATCTACTACTCAAGGAAAACATTAACATTCTGTTAGTTGCTGCACTGGTTATTAGCCATATTTGATAATTTAAATATAATATGCCCATTAGTATATGTAAAACATATAGTACAAAGCTAGATCATTTCAGGGATTGCTTCATTCTGATTTTGTCGGTTTTGATGGTACAGTATGAGAAGATCATAGACAGGAAGACAGGTTTTCTCCTTAGTTGCATCCATATTATGGAATTCACTGCCCCAAAGAGGTATGTGGGCCCATTCACTTCTGGCATTCAAGAGGTGATGTTATAAGCTTTCTTTTTAAAATAAGTATTTGATTCTTACCCCTTGTTAGGAGATCATCATTACAAGTGGGTTTTTTAATGCTTTGTGAGCTTTTAATTAAGTTTTAATTGAGGCAACTGTTTTTTTTTAATATTTTTTCTAGAATTCTTGACTGAATGGTGCAAAAAGTGTTATAAGAAATAAGTAAATCATGTAACTGTCATTATAGCTCTCAATCTCTTCTCCCAATATTCTCTTTGTTTCTATATAAACTCTTTTTTTGGCCTATTGACTGATTCTACTTTGTATAGCTTGTTTTCTATTGCTCTGACAATACAATTTAGATAATGCCCACTCCTAAGAATTGCTATACAAGCACAATAATGTTAGGCAATGAACAAATTTATTTTTTTCGTAATAAAAAGGCTTTGGTTTTTTTTGTTTAATTTGTATCATTTAATTAGCATTTCATTAATGTTCATAGATTACAACTGTCTTAATGTTTTGTGTGTGCAAACCATCTATCTTGTATAAAAATATGGTTTTATTTTATAATCAGTGCAGATTTCATGTGATTAATTTAAACCTGCAAACATCTCATAAAGCTCAAACAGAATGCAGACACACAGAGACAGATCATGGTAACTAAATTTGCAAAAATCTTTTCATTAAGTTGTTATAACCTATTATAAATTATAGTGATTAAGAAAATCTCATGTCAATCAATGGCAGTAACAGTATAGAGAAACACAGAGAAATATCCCTTCTGCTAAATTTTAATTTATTTATGTAATTAGCACAGAAAAATAGATTTAAGGAAAGTTTAGCAGAGATTAAGATAACATTCTAAACTGGCATTTATTTCAAAGGTGAATTGACATTCATATTTGTCATTTTTTATATCATAAAAATATATGAATTACATATTATAAAGATTTGAATACACTGAATTTATTTGACTTGTAATCTACAAGTAAGGCTATTAATGGTAAACAAATATACATTAATGGTAGTCCTTGATTTATGACAGCAATTGGGAAAATTTATGTTGCTAAGCAAAGCAGCTGTTAAGTGAGTCACACCTAATTTTACTGCCTCATTTGCCATGGTTAAGTGAATCATAGTAGTTGTTAAATGAATCATATGGTCATTAAGCCAATACAGCTTCCCCTGTTGACTCTGCTTGTTAGAAGCCAGTTGTAAAGATCACAAAGGCAATCACATTACCCAGGGATACTGTAACCATTATAGATAAATTCCAGTTGCCAGGTATCTGAATTTTGACCACAGGACTATGGGGATGCTGTGATGGTCGTACGTGTGAGGACTGATTTTAAGTCACTTTTTTCAGGACTGTTGTAACTTCAAACAGTCACTAAACAAACAGGTTTAAGCTGTGTACTATATATAAAACATCCATGGTAAGTATAAATAGGAGAGCTGGTCTGGTGCAGTGATTAAGTGCCAGGCTAGAAATTGGGGGATCCTGAATTCTAGTTCCACATTAGATGACAGGCCCTGGGTCCCTCACTTTCTCTCAGCCATAGGAAGAAGACAATTGCCAACCATTTTCAAGATCTTGCCAAGAAAATTGCAGGGACTAGTCCAGGCAGTTGCCATAAATCAATACTGACTTAAAGGCCAAGCTAAGCCAAGGTTAAAAGCAAAACCAGCAATAATACAAAAATTCCAGCAGAATTCTATAATCTTTTTCTGAAATGAGCACACTGGCTGATCTTGAGAGACAGTTGCTCAACAGAGTAACACTGTCACATAAAAACAGTGTTTTCATGCCTTAACTCCCATCATGTTGGGAAAGTAGGATACTAGCAGCAGTTTCTCTCAGAACAATTGATTTGACTAGGTTGACCCAGGCTGGAGAAGACAATTCTGGAAATATTTAAGGTCCAAATCACACTGACCTTTTTATGTTAAAAATGGTTGTTTGAAGGTAAGGCAGGGTCCACAGCACAGGCGTAATATGGGGCAGCTAATAAGCAGCCCATTGCATTTTAAATCAACTGCAGCTTCAGGTTGGTCTCCAAAGACATCCCCTCTTATAACATATCATCATAATCCAAGCAGGTGATAATTAGGATGCAATTTATTGGAGCTACATCCAAGGTCCCTGCATGCCCAATCACAGTAACTATGAGTCAGATTTGCTGCATTAGGGGTGGTACTTTCTCAGCTATATTAAAATGCTGGAGCAATCAAGAGAGAGCCACAATACATTAACAGCAGATCTTTCTTGGGGTCAACTTCAGAATTAATCAGAGATCTCAGTTTTATTATGCAATTTCTTTTTAAAGGAAATATATTTATCAATCTTATATAAAACTTCAAACTGATGCCTTGTTTTGGTTAAGGCTTGGATAATAATCTTATGATAGCTCTGTAAAGCAAACAATGTCCAATATCTAGGGATGATATAAGGAGCCCCATGCCCTCTGCTGTGTGCATGGACAAATGACATTTTTACCAAACTAAAGTTAATGGGAAAACAGCCCACTTAAACAGTGTTGGGTTGCTCAAAGTGGATTGCTCAACTGTAAAGAGTTGGGTGTCAGTCCTGGTGGGGGTTAATTTTTCTACTTCTATAATGAATTTTCTAAGTCATGTTTTAATGCAGCAGTGTTCCCAAAACTAGATTACAATATTAAACATGTAATTTAATTGATGTTCTTATAAATGTAGAAGTCCAATTCTAGCTAAAATAGATACTGGCTATTACAATAAATACATAATTTAAATATTCTTTATAATTTATATATTTCTTCCACAGGAATCATCTTCTGTCAGTTATTTTGTTGGATTACAAGAATGAATAATATATAAGCAGGAGAAAGGAGGAGGTGGGGAGACACTGCATAACATCCAAACTCCAGCCAAATAAGAGAAATATCTATAATATTGACCCAAAGTTAAGCAGATAATCTATGCTGTCTAAATTGTCATGAGATCATTGTTTAAACAAATAAGGGCTTCCCAATATA